AATAAGATTTTGATTAATTTTGGTATTTTTTATTTCTTTCTCCTCTTGGCAATTCTTTGATTTCCTTTCGAAAAATCGAATTTTTACATTTGTCATTATGTTGATAAGAGAATTGACGAGATAAAGTTTTGGTGAAACATACATCTTTTTCGTTTGTAATGTTCGAATTTTTTCTTCGAATAATAATAATAAATCCTAGTTGTACCTAAAATAAAGCACTCCATTTTTTACTAATGTTCTTCTATTTTATTTTCGACGAAACATATATATTACTTGTTTACGCGGTTACTCTGCGCTACAATCCTAACAACTCTATTTCATCGCTTTCGTTTGTATATATATTTTATCTCATAAATTCAGCTGAACATTCTTTGTGGTTATCTCGAATGCTTTGCGTAGGTGGAGTTAATCTTGTTAACTGAAAAAATGCATTTCATTCGGATATTTTTCTAGCATATTCTTCAGATGATATTGCAAATGATTTTTAAAACATTTTAAATTATTATTAACGATTATGTTTATTGTTCCTTGGTGCCAATAGTAAAATATAATTTAATTTTCTTAATGTAATATGCAACGGCATATGGATTATGGATATATTTAAGAAAAGGTAAGAAAAGGATAATTTTCATTTTTTTTAATTTTATTATAGTTTTGTTATAATATTGTGTTAATTTTAATTATAATTATAGGTATTACTTAATTAATACATAAAGATAACTTATATTCAACTTAAATAACATCCGTTTTCCAATTATGAAATAAAAAATTGAAATGGAACAATAAGTAGATAATCTCTTTACAAATTGCAAAGCAATTTATTTAACAAACAATTAAAGGCAAATAAAGATAATTAGAATAATCATAATTATTTATAATATCTTTTCAATTATGAAACAACTAGATCTAAGAAATTTTATTTTCGTTTCATCTTGAATTACATGAGTGGAACTTTCGTTATGAAACGTGGAAGAGAAACAATAAATTTTTTGGTTGATTAAAGAATCGATGCTCATAGAGTGGATGAGGGAAAGAAGATCGATAAATTAACATTCACCAGGAACATTCGAAAATTCCTGCTCGCCGAATTTATGGTTAATGCACATGTTTAAGCACTTTATCGGTGTTCCCTGGTATCTCGCCGTTCGATAATCGCTCCAGCCAACGTGTTATCGTTAACTCTTTACCTCAATTTTTAAACAAATTGAATAATTTTGCATCATACAGCTATTGTATAAAAATTATCGCAAAATTTATTTCTTTTTAGGTATCCCTCTTCGATTGAATAACATCGAATAAAATTTAAAGTCTTGTGTAAAAATAATAAGTAAAAACAGATAAATTAATAGATAAAAATATTTTAAAATTGTATCCTATTTCATGTGTATTTCATTTACATTTATTACAAATTGAACATCGATTCAACGATATCTCAGTGAAAATTTGCATCTTCTAATAAATAAAAATATTTTGAAATATATTTTGAAATTGGCTCTTCATAAAAGATTTGAAATCTTGTCCATCCATTGTTGTTCCTTGGAAAGAGTATATTAGAAAAGTTATCTTGGAGGATGAAGGGTACTTTTTTCGTCAGGTGTCGCTCGATTTCACGAGGCAGCAGCGTATAGTGCACGTAGAGATGGCCCGACGTCCGGTATAAAATTGCCTTCTTGCATCGAGAATCTTGAAGTGGCACTGATACGAAAATTGGTTGCGTCGACACGGCTTTATTTGATGGATCGAAGCGACAGCAAGATGAAATGGAACAGTTTACAAGCAGGAAGAGCGGAAAGGTCTACAATCTGCTCGTCAATCTCTTCGGCGCGTAGATGATTTATTCCACCCACCATTTGTAAAATGTAAATTTCAATCGAGATATGATATCCAAGTTCGCAACCTTTCTTCGAGAGAAATTAGCAATTAAAGTCACGAGGAGAGATTTGAAACTCTAGAGTTTGAGTAAATTGAATCGAATCAAGGAAAAGAATTAAAACTTTTTACAACATTAGATTTTTTTAGAAATAAAAAAAAAAGTTTCGAGATACTACGAGTCATATATTCTTGTAGTTAACAAAGATGACTTTTCTTTTCATATCAAAAGATTCTTACTCTATGAAACTTTTTTTTTTTTTTTTTTTTTAACTTAGAACCACTATATATATATCAGAGATTTATACTGCACTTCGTGTAGTATCTAATTATCCTGTGGAATAAAAGTGAAATTTCTCACTTTTTTTAGTTTACTTTTGACATTGAACTTCACATTTAGATATTTATCGATATCGTTAGTTCAGTGAGAAGATGAAATAAAAAAACAAATTGAATCTACACAGTGTATGGAGGACAATGGAGTGTGAAGAAAGGACAGTTTATACGACGCATAGAGGACGACACTGATGGGTCAATATAGTAGTAAAAGAAAAGATGATATTGGCCCCTTGCTGCCAAGTTAGTTGAAGCTATCTAGCAAAAAATGCTGTAACACGCTTCATCTGTTAATTATTTAAATAAAAAAAAACTTGTTTACAATAAATGGAGCATAAAATAATAATGGAGCATAATAAACATAAACATCTTGACTTACAAAAAGAAAATTTTTAAGAAGAACTTTCCCAAAATAACTCACTTTTACGATATATTTTGAATTCGTGTATATAATTAAAATTAGATTGCCTATATTTTAAACGAGAATTTACAAAAGAGTTTACATTTTGCAAAAAGTACATGTAAAATTGAAAGATTACATTCCTTCCTCCACATAATATTAAAAAAATAATAAAAAAAAGAATAAAAAATTTAAAAATATAAATTTCTACAATATATTACAATAAAATTAAAAACAAAGTAGTTTACTACTATGAAATACTATAATATTTGAATTTTAATCTTTTTTGACCAATTTCCATATCAAATTAATCCGAGAAGAGGCATCTTCGTCAGACATGTTCCAATCAAAATTGATAGGTTCGCGGTAATCATGACTGACGACATAATTGGGCATCCCGATGGCGATCCTTTTGCAACCAATGAATCAATCGAGGGCGCGCCTATAACTTGATGGTTTCTGGTTAAGAGCGCAGCATTGATAAACGGAGTATAATCAAGGGTTTGCGTTTACCATTGTGCGGCTCGCTTAATTGCTTGTAAACTTGTAGGCCGTGCTCGGAAATGCTACACGGAATAATCTGTAACACAATTGCCAAGCTTCTGTTTCCTGTCGAGTGAACTGCTTCCAGGAGAACGAAGAAATTGAAGGAACTCGGCAACGCTTTAATCTTTACCCAAGTGAACACGAATGAATCCACTGAGTAAATTATTTAGAAACTTTAACGACGGAACTACTTTCGCTTCAGAAACGGACTTGAAATTTTCCTAAGGAATTTGGAAAATAATTTTTTTTTTTTCCTTTAGTTTGTCGAAGGATAAAATTTCGTAGAAAATTGAAAAATCAATTAGTCGTCTGAAAAATTATTATTTATCTTTCGCGTACAATGGAATTTCATTTACTTGGTTAGAGCAATTTCATTTATGGCAAACTGTTTATAACAATCAGTCCATTGATTCTCCCAATTGATTATGATTTCTCATTCGAATAATAGGAGAATTTGCTGTTCAAGTAATAAATAGTTTCAATCAACGAGAATTCAATCGAACGGGCATTAACTGAAATTTCATTCCGTCGAAATTCAATCAAATGAAATTCAATCGTATCTATTCCAACACTTTATGACGATTACACGGAAAATATGACAAATCGAATAAACGCGATACGAATTCATCCGATAGAAATTTACAAATTAAAAGATAACAAGGGATATATCTCGTGTAATAAAACGATTAAAAAAAAAAAAATAAATAAATAAATGGAATATTTCATCGTTGTTCGAACGACAAATTTTTATTTGCCCAAGTTTCGGTCGGTTCATTCGAATAATATCCAACGTTTATTAAAAGTTGAAAAATCCGATTGATAGAGATGGATTTTCCATTTGGATTGTAAAAGCGCGAAGCCTGGCGTAACGTGTAGTATTTGTTAATTGTTCGGAACAGGATTTAACGTTGACATAAATTTTAATGAAGTTCTCGCGCTTATAACGCGGTATCAGGATCAATTTCGAAATAAATTTTAATGAATTTTACACGAGTACACGTGTGGATACGGTTAATTTTAGCAGTACACGTTTATAATACGAGTGTTCTGTGATAAATCCGTCGTTCCATTGATCATTACAATTATTATTGAAATCGTTTTATTTCCAAATGGAACGTATTGCGAATCCATTGAAAAGTACCGAAACGGGTCTCGAAAAATAAATTTTAATGATGAACAGAAATAAATAGAACTATTTCATCACGTACGATGAATATTAATTAAATATAACATGTAATGACTATTTAGAAATAATTATCCAGAAATTAACGTGCCACTGATAACTGAAAGATTTAACGATTTAAGATGTCTTTTAATTTTATTAAAAATCCAAAATTTTATTTAATGTTTTAAAAATAAAACATAATAGACAAACTAGTATGGCTTGAACAAATGTTAAATTGAGTTTACAATATCTGAGAGATATTCTTTTTATTTTACTCACAAAGTATATCATTAACAAGTATTGATAAATTTTTCGAAATTATGATTACGTGTATACATTGTATCAGAAATATTCATGAAATAGAACATGAATAAATTAAAATATTTTGATAACATATAATTTGATATAATACAATTTTAACGATCGAACATGAATGGTCATATCAAAAGTCATCGTCAAGATCACCTAACTTCCTTAAAACTTCACAATTATCTACGACACGTAAAAATATTTTTATCGATATCTGGAAAACTGAAGGTGAACAACGATTATAGGAAAAACTAGTTTAAAACATTGTTCGTGACAAATTTCAAGCTCGAAATCAAGAAGAAGATCGAAATCACTAGATCTTTCCTTCTGGTATTTTTTAATAAATAAAAAAAAAAAAATTATCTCGAAAAATTATTAAAGCGAAAGAAAAGAGAGCGATATCGTTAAACGCGAGAAACGAATCGCGATATTATTTTGAAAAAAGATTTTAGCCGTGAGTGTACGAACCGGATAAAATCTTCGATCAAACGATATAAAGCGATTATGTTTTGTTACGCAAAACGAACGGCGAACCACGATTGACTTTACGATTGACTCCAAAGTCGATATTGCCACGTTAAAATCGGAACTCGATTCGACTACGATCCCATTTCGTGGAGTCGACTTGTTTTCCAATCGTCGACGTTGCGAAATTGTTCGAAAGGGAAATTACATCCTTGGTTTAACACGATGACCACCGCATCGATTAACGACAACGTGGCCGAGATCCGAAAATTAAACCAATACGTCGGAGCCTTCGTAGGTGAGCTAACCTTCCTTCCATATTTCATGCATTGAAAAATCTCTCGATACGATAACTCTTTCCAAATTAAAAAGAATCTGTCCATCTTCCGTTTAAAGAAAAAAAGGTAAGAAAATTGAATTAAAATTATTAGAATCTGTTTATATTAATTTTACAGTCCATTAATCATCCATGATTTTTTTATGCGTTTTTTTTTAATTTATCTGGATTATTAAATATTTGTTCGTTTCCTTTTTATATATAAATTTCGAATGATTGGGAATATTGGTTTTTCGATTTCTTTCGAATATTTTTTTTTTTTTTGGATTTATGGAGAATCGGATATTTTCATTTTCACGTGTAATTGTAATATTTCATATTTGATATGATCTTCATATAAATTATAGAAATAAGAATACGAATAAATGATCAAATTATGTTGCAGAATTAAGGTTCATCTTGGTTTCTTGGTAGGTTTTTCACAATATGCTATTTAAATCCATAGTATACGTGGTTTGCATTTACATTCTGATTTATCTTATTATTCTATTACTTGTTATCGTATCTCTTATAATCCTGTACTTTTATTTAGAATATAATATGAGAAGACAACTGTGAATCACGATAGAATAGAATATTAGCGAGGAAAACAAAATCGAAGATTAACAATTTTTCTTAAAAAAACCTTTATTTTCACTTCTTACTAATTTATCAAATTCCGTCTATTAAATTTTTTTCTCCTTCACTCGTACACCTTCGTTTACCCTAACATTCGTTAGACATCGCTTCTCGGGCAAAGGAAATCGTGTCCAGAAAGAGAAACACGTTGAAGAAACTCGGGCAGACAGTGCTCTTTGTCAGCATCCAATTTCCCCTTTTCTCTTCTCATCGAAAGAAAAAGAAAAAAAAGAAAAGAAAAAAAAAAAAACGAAAAGACCAGAGAAATAAAAATGGCAAAAAAGAAACGGACTTTCGTCTTAAGGGCCCTTTATTATAAAATTTTAACACAGTTTGAATTAAGCAACAATTAGCACGAATGGACACGAGAGGCAAGAGGAAGAGAGGCAAAGAAAGAGTTTAGAGAGAACGAGAGAGAAGAGGAAAGAGAGAAGGGGGAAAAGGAAGATTGACAAACATGTTTGTTGATGAAATTTTAGCATCCCTCGGCGGTTTTGCGCTCGGCATCTCGCTAGGTTGGAATTCCAAGGCCAGCATAGTGCTGAGGAATTACGTCGATGCCACTGCGACTGAAATCGGGCTGATCGGGGGCATTTTAAACGGTGGCATTTGCATAGGGGCGATCCTGATACCGTTCATTGTAGGACGAATATCCAGAACGAACATCTTGTTCTGGACGATGCCTGTTCTCATCCTTACGTGGACCTTGATGATCAGCAATCGTCGTCAGAAGGTGAGAATCATATTCAAAGATAATTCATGTAACAAGCTCTTTAAGAATAAAAGTAAGATATTATTTTTTCTTAACAAAATAAGATATCGAATTGAAATTTTGACGGTGAGCCTTTTGAATTCTTTTCCTTTTTTTTTTCAAGAAATATCATAGGAGAACAATTATTTTGAATTATTTTTTATATAATTAATTAGGATAATTCGTTATTGGTGGCGCGATTAAAGAATAATTATACAAGAATTAGAAACATAATTTGAAATGAGATTTTCTTATTTTATTAAAAGCACGTTGAAATAATGCAAGGCTCTTATTATATGCAAAATAGGAATGAATATTGCATGTGAAATCTAAAGAACATAGGTGCATCATACATAGGAAGATTTTGAGTCAGAGTGTTCATCATCCAAGGGATTAACTAGAATTCACTTCCATATATTGCTGTACTTTACCATTTCTCGTTATAGCGTTTATAAAAATGTCGAAATTTTAAAAGAGAAGATCGTTTCAACATTCGAAAAAAGCTAAAAATATGCGATCCACTCCAGAAGATATACGATAATTTTTTAAAGAGAGATTTTCATACGAAGCATGGTAAAAAAAAAAATTTTTCAACGATAATATTTCTACGATAATAAACGTTCATTAATGTATTTTATCTTTGTAACCAGAATAATTCATAAATACAACAAAATACAAACGAAGCAAGATAACACAGGACCACAGGATAATTTCAGACCGAGGCTTATGTTCACCGAATAATTTTTAAAATTGTATAACTAAAATGGACGCAACAAAGCTCTCTTTTTGAAAATATTTTCAAAATATTCGATATAATATTCAAGAGAAATTTTACACCACCAATAACGAACCATTCCATATTGAATCGTGGCCACGAATACGGTTCATAACCGTTATCGTGTCGATCCTATAACCATAATCGTATCGGCTCTATAACTATCGTTATATCGGTCTTAGAGGATAGCTTTTCAGACAACCCAATATATTCGTGATATTTAATCCATTCATCGTCGCGATTCTCTCTTGAAAATCAGAAAAAAACAGTTTTTCGTAGGATTCAAATAATGCTCAAATAATAAGGATACTCGAGAATTGTTTGAACTTTATCTCAAATTTTGAATTTCGAAAATGAGATGATAATTTGTATCAATGATTTTATTTATTTTATTTTTTTCTTTCTAGGTATTGTTATTCCTGATTGGAAGATTGATCTGCGGCATCTGTGGCGGTGTATCTTGCGTTTTGACGCCAATTTACGTGGCTGAGATAGCGAGCAAAGAAATCCGTGGACGTTTGCTCGCCTTTTTTCAACTGCTAGTCAACTGTGGCGTGATGTACGCTTTCTACGTGGCTCATGCAATCGACGAACAAAAATCTGTATGGAGGTATACATCTTATTTGTAAATTGCTGTTGTTTGTGTAAATTATTGTTTCGTGCGTTATATACAGCTAAGAAAAAGTAAATTGTATAACTAAAATGGAATGAAAAACACGTGTACAAAATGTCCCATTTTAAATATCTCTCAAATAGGCAAATATCTGGAAAAATCGTTGGAAACAAAAGTTTTGCCACGTCAAGGGAATAGATCCTGTATGTTTGGAACAGACTAACAAAAATAGAGGAATAAATTGAAACTTATTATTTATTCATATTTGTTTACTACGGGGGGATTAATATATTCGTGAGATACTTTTAAAGGATCGATTTTAAAGCCCAGATAAATATAAAAGTTGGTATACAAAAATGGTTGAGACTTATTTATTAAGTATATAAAGGATACTTTGAATAATTTGTATTCTCTTGCATATTATGAATTTTTATATCATTGAAATTTTCATAAACAATTTATCTATGATAAAGAAAGTTTAACTTTTATAATTAATTCACCATCGAGCTCTGGAATCTATTTACCCATAAACAAAATTTATCTTTCAATAATTTTTAATCAATACAAATTAAACTTATTATTCTAAATCTTCTTAAGGATTATCAAGAATATTACGAATGGTATAATAATATTTTATTTTATAAAATCTAGTTACGATATACCAATCGATTGTTATCCTTTAATTTGATATACATTTAACATTTCAGTAAATAATACATTCGAATATATTTCAATAGTTTGTTCGTAATTAACAAACACCGGAAATTTTGCAACGAAAATGTACATAGAAATAATTATCGAAATTATTTTGTTACATGCATTATTCATGCCACGCTTTCTTAACCAATATCGATCGATACAATATATAGGAACAACGTATTTATTAATAAATATTAGCATTTAATTAATTTAACAAACAACGAATTTAACGTTGAATATTATTGGCTAATTGATTTATCGAATCTGAAATTATACTCGTTTACACAGATTGCTTATCCCTCGATCACGTGGCTACGTTTTATTAAATCATAGATAGATTATATATACGACACGAGCTTCTTCGAAAAACTGATCAATTCTTTCTCTTAAAGGTACAGCGCAATTTGTGGCCTCGCGTGTCTCTCGATCGCCCCGACAAAATTATTACCCGAGAGTCCGCTCTACTATTTGTCGAGGAACGACGAGATCGGTGCAGAAAAATCCTTGAGATGGTATCGCGGCGACACTTACGATGTCCAGCACGAAATCAACGAAACGAAGCGTCTCGTTCTCGCTCATTCGAAAAAGGTACGAAAAATCGATTTTCTCCTTCTATGGAATACGATAGTCTCGTTGTTAAGAAAAGAAACTGTTAACCTTTTGACTACAACAACACTTATGGACGTTCCATTACACGTGCTTATTTCATTTATTTCAATTGTGATATATTTCTGAGCACTCTGAAGTTAAAGGATTAATAATAAAAATATATTTTTGACGTATCGATTATTAAGGTAGAAATTTGTCAGAAATATTTTTTTCTTATTCAAAATTATGAATAAGGCACGTTAAGAAAAACGATATTGATAGTTATTTAGTGTAAAATTTAGATTTGGATGAGAATTATGATAATTAAATTGTTTCGACATCAGTTCAGCCTACGATTGTTAAAAAATCGTCGAATACTGCGGTCAATGGCGACGTGTTTCGGAATAATCTTGGGCCAACATTTGTGCGGCGTCAACATGATGATTTTCTACGCCCTGATGCTCTTCGAAACCACTGGTTCCGGTGAACTGACCGGAAGCGAACAGACGCTGGTCGTCGGCGCCGTTCAAATATTAGTATGTCTCTTGGCCGCGTTCCTGGTCGACGTACTTGGACGTCGAATTCTCCTCACCGTCTCTTCCCTTTTCATGGGATTGTTCCTCATATTGCTAGGTAAACCATTTTATCAAATAAATGTTGCAACGGCAAATTTCTCGGACCAAGCATTCCTTGCGTTCTTATTTTATTTATTTCGTATTAATTTTTTAATTCGAAATAATGTATTTCATAGTTTTCCAGCGAGATGATTTTTCAGTCAAATTTAAACGTGGAAAAATCATTATCGAACGGAATATTTCGTTTCACCAGTTTCTCGATGACGATTGAGAAATATAAGTGTAATTTTGAATTTATAATCATTTTTAAAACGTGATTTTACATATTGTTATTAATTTGTTTCTACGTATAATTATTATACTTTCGGAATTAATTAAAATTAACAAGTATAAAAATTTTGTAATTTATATTTCGATATATCACGTATTTTTATAATTTACACGGATTGCATATCTACGTGTTATAAATGTAAATTGTGTAAATATCGTATAATATTTTGTTGTATTTGTTAACTGATAGAGAAAAATGATTTGTTCGATGAGCATATCTGCGATGCTGGCTTTAATCCAGCTTAAAATACGACCTCTTCTGCAATACTTCCGGAACACGCGCATATAGTATTAAGAAATCAAAATAGATCGTGTATCAATTGGTTCGATCATTCGTTGGCAATTTAAAAACATATCTCATGCTTGACATTGAATAACAATCGCTTTCTTGCTATTTTAATATCTATTTTATAATATTTATTACTTTTATTACGTGTTACATACGTAAATAATTATATTTCTGAATGAATTCGTAACGCAAATAATATTTATGATCGAACTGCGGATTTTTATGCAAAATTGAAAAAAATTAAATTTAAATAGAGAACTTTCTTTATTTCTCGAACGTTATAAATACGCCCTATACTTTGAATATTTTTCTCCATTTTCTTTCAGATGCATCCGCATTTTACATAAAAGCATAAATATCCACGATCCACAATTATAGATATTGTATAATTTCAACGTAAAATTTTCCTTGGAGAATTTTATCAAACATTTTCAAAAACCGACCAATTTTTATCAATTGATCGATCAATTCAATACCGTTCAAACTCCAAATCAGATATTTGTAAAACGAATATTATTCCAAATTTCAGCACATCGACCGACATCATCGGCATAATCAAACAAACGATGACTCAAGATCAATTTGTTCAAAAAAGAAACGCTCTTCGCCATCTCGAACCCGATACCATCCATCAAACAACCATCCAATAACATTCCTCTAAAAAGGAATAATAACACAACAATATATAAATAGAATTTTCCTTCATGTTCCGTTTCATCTGTTCCAGGTTGGTTCTTCAGTTTACGCGACAGCGACCCCGAATACGACGACATCTACTTCTGGATGTCGCCCACTTGGATCACTCTGATCTTCGCCGCGTTCAACCTAGGTCTCGGGCCAATTTCCTGGTCTTTGTTAGGGGACACGCTTCCGGAAGAGCTGAAGACCTCGGTCGTCTCGATGGCGGTCGCGTTCGGATGGCTGATCTCGATGATGGGCACCCTGACTTTCGACGAGATGATCATTTCCCTGGGCAGCACTAAAGTTATGTGGCTCTCCGCGGCCATATGCTGGCTGATCGCTTTATTCTGCGCCATCGTGGTCAAAGACAACACCGGGAAAAGTTTGATCGAGATACAAGAAGAATTTCGCATCGAGTCTAACGCAGGGTTAGAGGAGACCTGATCCTTATTCTCGAACAGCGATGTAGAGAGATCTATTTCAATGTGAATTTTGTATTTTGAAGCTTGGATATAGGGCGACGAGCTGATTTCTTGTATTTTATTGGAACAAATGGCACGCTGAGAACTGTGTTTAATATTTCGTAGTTACAATGTAACGAAGATTTTTTTTTTTTTTTTTTTTTTT